AGATGACGAGGGTGAAGAAGGGCAAGAATGTAGAGACACCTCTAAATGATCCACCCTTCTCGGCAGACAGTTTAGCCGGTGCTGGTGCGGGTCATCAGATCAGAGATGATGCAACAAGTCTTCCTGCTCCCGATCACTCTCTTTGATCAACGACACCCTCTGATCGACCCCCTGTGGATTTGTCCTTGCCAACCCGTCCCAACTTCAATTGTCCAACGCCTACCCGTGACATCCATCGGGAGGGCAACTATTTTGCATTGCCAAATCCGATCGGCCCCCCCTGGCACCGCATGTCCCTTGTTTGCCAATTTCTCAAGGGTTGATCCCCCATCGGTTGTTGACAATGGCTTACCAAACGTGCTCAACCCGGCCTATGCATACATCTCTGATGACTCGCCTCGCCGAAAGAATGCCAATGGAGAGACCTCTTTCTTGACAGCTGAAGGGGATCAATTATACGTCAACAAGGAACAGCTACCTCCTCAGAATAATCCAGCCCCACCGGTGCCCACCCCTTCAATCAATAAACAAGTGCAGCCAGCCCCACCGAAACACCAGATGCAGCGTCGAGAGGTCATTCACGAGCGACAAGAGAGGCACCCAAACTACCGCTTTGACAATGTCAGACTAGAGGGGGTTGAAGACAATGACACCGCGCGGGGAAAAAGGAATAGGACTGACGACTCTGATGACGATGCGGTTGTGGGAGGAGCCACCGGGAAGTCCACAAGAAATAGGATTGACGACTCTGAAGGTGACGACTCTGAACGAGACACTGACGCAGAAGGTTCTACAGATGAAGAATATGTCTCAAAGGAACCAACTCGCCGGGTTGCGGTCATTCTGGACCATGGAATTGGTCACCCAGCCCCCTTCAGACAAGGCCCACAGGCTGACCCCAGCCCACATGTTCATCCGTTGTTGGACGATTTTGCTTTGTGGGATTTGTTGAGCAAGATGAACATTCCTCGTAACCCAACGCAGGGGGGGAGCAGGCAGCCTGCCAGTAGAGATGGTCGCGGATATCTGTTATCCGCTGTCGGATACCCGCCAGCGGGTGCGGATTCGGGTGCGGATGCCCCCTTCCCCCTGAAATCCTGGTGGATATCCGGGTATCCCAAGGGATATCCGCCCATACAGGAGGCCTTGGGAGGGCCCCAGGCTGTGAGAAACAAAGAAAAAATGGGAAAAAGGAAAACAAGAAAAATGGGGCCTTAACAAAAAACATGGTTTTGCCGCGCGCACTGCGCAGCAGACACATTTTTTAATTAATTTTGCACTGCTTATTTTTTATTATTTTTTGAAATTTTAAATTTATTTCCTATGTGTTAAAGTGCTTAGAATTCAATGGTAGAAAGCATTTTCCATAAAAATTAATGGTTCTTTTTGAATAATGCAATTAGACACAATTTTTCAATTAATTTTTGACAGATTAATAATTAATTTTCATTATTTTTTCCTTTACTTTAAGAGGTGTGAAATTTGATGGTAAAGTGTACCCCATTTATTGCATAATTAAATTATGCAAATTATGATAATTTGTACCGTATACCAGACTTATTTGTATGCAAAGTTGATATAACCATCCATTTTCAAAAAATAATGAAATTTAAGCCAGTAAAAATTTACATGAGTTGGCTGCAACAAACAAAAAAAATATGGCAAAGGAAAAAGGAATTAGATTTTTTCCATATTTTTGGGAGGGTAACAGGCTGTGAGCAACAAAAGGAAAAAATAAAATGAAATAAAATAAAAGAAAAGAAAAGAAAAAATAAATAAATAAATATAAAAAAAAAAACTTAAAACCACTTTGCCAACTGCTCAACAAAAAAATTCAAAAGCAAAAAGAAATATGATTTTTTCCATTTTCCATATTTTTTGGAGGGTCACAGGCTGCAAGCAGCAAAGGAAAAAAAATGAAAAAATAAAAATAAATTGAAGGCTTGAAGGCCGCAAGAAATTCAAAATCACTAGTGTTTATGCAGCTTTCTGCATCTGAAATTTCCCCGAGAAACTTTCATTTTGCAGCCTGGGGGTCATTTTTGGGGCAGATATCCGCGGGTATCCGCCAGAGGATGCGGATGTCTGATTTGGCTGAAAACGTGAGCGGATATCCAAATCCAAACGGATATCCGGATGCGCCGGGCCCATCTCTACCTGCCAGTGGGCCAAGTAGAAGGGGGGCAGGTGGTGAAGCGCCTCGTGGGACTCAGTCGGCACGTGCTCCTTGTAAGTGCTTCTAAATGCATGATTCATCTGTTTTCATGTCCTGATTTTGGTGTGTATGGTTCTGTAGCTGTGGAACTCTTTGTCCCTGGTGTAGTTTTGCCATCACAGGAGGTCGAGCAATGGAACAATGAGCTTTCCGGTGGAATCAAATGGACACACCAATCAGCTCAATCCTCCCTTTTGAATATCAAGTATATACTCGAGCATTTGCCTCCCCTGATTTCTGCACACAACGCGATCCCTAACGAATGGAGTCAGCAGATTTGGATGGACATAGATCAAACATCGAGGGCTTGTGAAACAGGTATGTGAAATTCATGTGGCAGGGGGTTTGTGGGAATTCATAATGAATGTCTGTGACTTTTTTATTCAGAGGATATACTCAAGACTGCGGGGAATTTGTCTCTCATCACGTCCAACATGGTTGATATGGAACAAATCAAAACTTTCCAACTGACGGAAAGGTTAACTGGCAACCACACGCTCCTACCGCACTTGGCCAGGTTTTTTGCCCCTGGGAGATCGGCATATATTCGACTGCAAGAGGCATTACAACAGACTTGGGCTATGCAAAAGATGACACAGATGAAAGACACTTGGATCCCTCAGGCCTTCGACAATAGTAACAACGTGTATACGGCCTACACCCATCTCTGCAACGCATACGAGAACATGGGCGGGAAGTTGGGCGACAACTCTGCATCGGAACCTGGCGTGATGTTGTTAATCCAGTATTTCATTGGGGCTCTGGCCGGTTTGGCCTACCTTTCAGGTGGCTGCATTCCCAAACCAAAGCAGACAAAAATTAATGTGTACCGCACCAAGCACCACCTTCATCATGTCCAGATGCTTGCGAATCTCATGATTTTTGGTCCAACTGCAGCCTTCACTGCTTATCGCACGGGTCCTCACGTTACTCTTTCGAATGCTCTTTCTTTGTTGGAGGTTGGTGCAAGTCTGCTCAAACAAAAAGTTGATCACGGAATCACGGCCCCAATGCCTCACGCGATTTTGGACAACCTTTGGCTTTATTTCTTGAAATTTATCATCAAGATGGGTTTCACCAATCTCAACGACGAAGGGGTCCCACAGGTGAATTGGAAGGACGTGCATGAGGCGTTCTACCATGAGTTTGCAACACATGTGATAACGCACATGTTTGCACAAGACATAGAAATTGCTTTGGCTGAGAAGCGTTTTGGAGTTGATTAATTTGATTGAAAATTCCTTCACTTTGGTTCCTGACATGTGTTGTGTACTTGTTTCCTCTCTGATATCATGATATCACATCTGATCAAAACATAGTTACAAGGAGCTTTGTGTGGATTGATGAGCTTTTGTGATCACGATTTATTTCCCTTGGCTTTAACACATGATTAGTCTCCTTGTTTCCCTTTCTATTTGGATAATATGATTGCTCAAATGAGTGTGCATTGAATGTCCGTACAATTGACATACAATTGTGGTTTTGATGGGGGCCCAATTGGTAGTAGGGATACAACTCACAATGAGGCCCAATCAGGAATGGCTTTCTGTGTTTCATTGAGTTAAGGCAATGTGGATAATGACTTGCTTGTCTATCTGTGGGGATGAGTTATTCACAATAGATTTCATAAAATATAAATATAATGAGATATGAAGCGTTCATTGCTGAATAAGCTGGTTGTATAGGTCTACATTAGGTTGAATAGCAGTCAACCATTGAGCCATGGACGCATTTTCCAGGCGCGTGCACAATTGGAATGACAGAGGGGGGATAGGGATGAGACCGCGCTTGGGGATAACTAACTCCCAATGGTTGCCCCGTGTGAAGGCTATTAGTATGGGCCCCATTGGTTTAGGGTCTGGTTCTTTCAAGCTTGGTAAGTTAGTGATACACCCAATGTTTACCTCGGCTGAGAGGAAGACAATGGGCCTGTTGTATGCGTTTGCCAGCACGGGTCCCATGTCCAGCCGTTCCATCCACTTGGAATATGGGACTGATGTTGAGTTGGGATCAACAACAAGGGATTCACGGGCCCTCTTGTATTTGTTGTCGCTCCCAAACCTCCTTGTCCAATGCGCTTTGTTGTTGTGGAGCTCGTTGATCAGATCCTGGCGGACCTGATACCACCCGTTGGTCTTTGCGTACAAGCTCTTGGGCTTCTCAAGTGCCATATGGCGCGCCACGCAAGAGTAACCACAGTTGCCATCGCCAGGTGGATCATATGTCAATTGGACATGTTTTTGCACCCAGGCAGGGAGCTCATTAAAGATGGCCTTGCGGTACCCGGGACCCGTTGGCGGGTACCGCCTTCACTCCTCCGGTACCCGCCAAGTGGTGCCGGGTGCGGTACTCGGTGCCTGCTTTTGGGCAAAAAAGCAGGCGGTACCCTGGTACCTTCAAGGGTACCCGCCCCCAAACCCCCTCCTCGGTGGCTTGACCGAGACTAACTGGTCTCGTCCAGGTTGCTGGAGAGGAACCCTCCTTGGCAACCTGATCAAGACCAATCAGGTCGCCGGTAAGGGCCCTCCTTGGCGACCTGATTGGTCTCAACCAGGTTGCCTGGAAGAAGCTCCGGTAGCCAGGCGGTACCCGCCAGGAGTACCGCCGGTACCCGTCATACTTGAGCGGGTGCGGTACCCGGTGTCCGTTTTGGCCGCAAAAAGCAGTTGGTACCCGGGTATCAACGGGTACCCGGGTCCCATGGGGCCATCTTTAGAGCTCATTATGGGCCGCCACCTTAAATTGATGTAGAATAATTGGATGGTCAGTAAATCTGCTGCACTCAGAAGAGGGAGGAGTGGAACCAGGCAATCTGCCTTACCATTGCTTTTGGTGCAGGCACCAGGGGTGCTTGAGGGGGTGGCCCATGGTCGGTCACAATTCCTTGGGCTGCCTGTGGGGTCAATAAGCATCTGATCAGTCAGTGTCATAGGGGCCATTTGGGTCTGGTAGCTCACCTGGGTTCCCACATCGTCGGGGTCTTTAGGAGCCCCATGGGACATTTCTGCAATGTCATACCCTGGAGGATTGTTGACCTATGATGAGGCAGGCAGAGCGGGGGTTAGCCCATGTGGTTGTGCATAAAGATTTCCCAAAGAACAGCTTGCCTTGCACACAATCCCAGGGTGAGATAGTGTGCCTGTCTGTCCATTGACCACAGCACCATCCTCACCACCATTTTCTGGTGTAATCTCGGTAGGTGGTGGCAACCATATCTTCTTGGGCCTGATGCGTTTGGGTTTGGTCGGGATTGCCTTACATGCCTACAACATTGCACATTCTCAGCTTGCTGTGGGTGGGTAATTCATATAACAGTGACTCACAGTGGTTGTCTCCTGCCCCAAGCATGTACCTTCTTCAGGCCACGTGCGGAACTGGGGTCCATGCGCCCGGGTGATTCGTGTGGGCCCACTGCAAACTGGTGCAACTGGGGTGGCTGGGCGGGCCAGCAAGGTGTCATCACCTGAGGCAACCTGAGGGGACAACGGGATATGGCATGGTGATGATGTCAATGACTTCATCTTGCTTGGCACTGATGGTTTGGCAGGGCCACTTACCTCTGACGGTATTTGTGGTTCATCCGGGTTTGGCTGTGTGTCAGGTACCGTATTGAAGTCCTTTGGGGCATTTACATGCTCTGTTTTGGCAAGCTAGACAAATTGAGACACATGAGCCTTCTCGTTGGTGATATGTTTTCCATGTGAGTGTAAATGGAAGTGCTTACCTCATCAAAGACTTCTTCAAGACCTGATGGCAATTCAGCATCCTAAGGGCTAGCTGGAACTCCCCCTCCGGGTGGTGAATCGGTTGTTGTGCCTGCTCTTGAGTCCCCATGCTCATCTGGGGAACCCGCGGCGGTCTGCAGAGGCCCGGATGTGCATTCCCCGTTGGACCCTCCTGAGCATCCTGTCTCGGAATCATCTGCAGAGCTAGATGAGTCCCCTGAATCGCTAGACTCCGCCAAGTTGACCTTCTTTGTTGCTTGTGTAGATCGTAAAGGCAGCTTCCTTTTCTTCGTGACCCGATCAGGTTCATCACCAATTTCATCACAGGATGTCGCATCTGATGATGAAATTTTTGACTTTGTCGTAGACTTTCGGTTGGCCTTAATTTTCACCTTCTTGGCCCTTGACACCTTCTTCTTTGCCTGAGCCTCGTTGACTTGGGCCTCAACAACCTCAGCATGTATTGCGTCTCGTTTGGCCACTCGCACGTAACCTCGTTTCCGCGTTTTCTTGGCTCCCTTGCGGGTGTTTCGTATGATGGGTGCCTCACCCAGGGGCACAACTACCGTGTTAGTTCGCACCTGGCGCAGCTTGGCCCATAAGACCAGGGAGATCTTGAGGCTCACGTCTGCCAGAATCTCCTCTTTCATGGCTGCATAGTCCTCGTCAAAGTTATAAGGAGGTTCCGCATTCTGGGCCAGGCAGAGAGAATCATCAGAACCCAAGACGACAGCAATCAGGCGTTTGCAAAGGATCACTCACCGGTTCATCAGGGGTACAATATAATTTCCACTGATTGTGAATATTTGTTGTTTCAACAACACCACTGTCGTCCAAGATATCAGCCAACATGTGCCAGCAAGGGATACCCATTGTGGCCCACAAGCTACCAGTGCACTCGTCATGATCCACCCCCTTGGCCGCTGTGGTGTTCTAAACGGTTCAGGCCCCCTCAAGGTCCAATTTCAGAATTCAACTTTCAACTCTTCAATATCCTCAAGACTCAAGATTTCAATATTATCACCTCAAATCCCCACTCAGTCCAATGGTTTCCTCATTTTATTATTTTATTCCATTTTCTCTTATTATTTACTCTTCATGTTATTTTTTTATTCATCTTGATTTTATTTTTTATCATTTTATTATTCTTACTTATCTTTTTCAAATCACCTACTCAGAAGACAGTCTTGTTTAACTTTCTTGGTCCTAAGACATCTCAGGATGTTGGTTTATTTCACTCTTGATTATTTTATTTTATTTTATTTTATTTTATTTTATTTTATTTTATTTTATTTTATTTTATTTTATTTTATTTTATTTTATTTTATTTTATTTTATTTTATTTTATTTTATTTTATTTTATTTTATTTTATTTTATTTTATTTTATTTTATTTTATTTTATTTTATTTTATTTTATTTTATTTTATTTTATTTTATTTTATTTTATTTTATTTTATTTTATTTTATTTTATTTTATTTTATTTTATTTTATTTTATTTTATTTTATTTTGTTTTGTTTTATTTTGTTTTGTTTTGTTTTGTTTTGTTTTGTTTTGTTTTGTTTTGTTTTGTTTTGTTTTGTTCTGTCTTGTTCTGTTCTGTGTTGTGTTGTGTTGTGTGTGTTGTGTGTGTTGTGTTGTGTAGTGTTGTGTAGTGTGGTCTTGTTTTTGTTTTTTGGTTGAGTTGTGTTGTAGTTAGGGACGTGATGACATGTCTGTGACATGTCACTCCCCAGAGTCAAAGTTAAGTTTGAACTGAGATGATGGGGAAGCATGGCACTCTGATCTGATCCAAGATAGACCCATCAATTCTGATTGATCTTTTCATTATTAATCCATCTGATCCTCATACACACCAATCCTCAAGCTCAACAACCGCCACAGAACTCAATTTCTGTTGTCTCCTCTCAGAAAACCGACCAACCCCAACGCATTTCTTGTTCAGATCACAGCTCAATTTATCCGGACCCCACTTGAAGGCAGCCCTCAAAGCACCATCCCTTCAACCAACTGCCTACCGCCTGGCACGATAGGAGTTCCACACCGCGTGGGTCCCGATTCTTCAAGTACAGGTCCCGCTGCCGCTCAAGCATGACAATTGCATGAATTGAGACCTTAGTGTTAAGTGGACGGAAGGTTTCCGGCAGACCGGATTTCCCCTTCTGCTTCTCGTTTGATATCTGTTTCACAACACTTGTGACCTGGTAGTCCACTGTCTGAGCAATTTTCTCGAACACAGTCGCCAAGTCCGTCTTGTGGGAGGTCACGTGTTTCTTCAGCCAACTGTGCGCAGACTCCCCTCAAGCGGTCGTGTGATTGCCTAAATGCGGGGTCTGACCTATCCAAGGTCTCATGAACAACTCCCGATCAGGAATGATCTTCTTGATCAGGTAATCCAGGACCAAGGCGCGATCGGCTAGATACATTTGAAGCTTGCCCCAGGCGTCGTCTGGTCATAAGCGTCCTCATCCTTTGAATACATTACTGAGTTCCACTTCTTCTTGAACACCTCATATTCCGCAGGATCAGCTGCAAACGCGGGGTAACAAGCCGCACAGATGTTTTAATCTATGTGCCACAAGCAGACATTGTTCACGGCCTCAGGGAAGTGCACCACAATCGCGTTTTGTAAGGCCTTCTCGTGATCAGTTACAATCACCTTGGGTGATCTTTCGGGTGCCCACACGTCCCTGTGAAATCCCACAATTGAACCACCATCAATCGGTCCGTCTGATCTGAGAACTGGAGAGTTTTGTCCCCTGTATTCTTCGGTCCCAAACCAAAGATGCATGTGGTAGCGTCCTCGGTTTGGAACCGTATTTCAAGGTGAGCTGAGTGAGATGGATGAGCTCAACCATTTTTTTTTTAAAAAAAAATACAAGTACCTTCTTCCTCCAGCAACAAGGCTAAACTTGCTCATCGGACATCTCAGCTCTCATCAACTCCCCTCCCATCTCCCAGCACAGCTCAAATATCA